GACGACGGCGCCTCGCGGCGGCGGCGGATCGCGTTGCGGAAACAAAAGCGCGGCGCGAACCGTGATGAGATTGAGGCCGAGGGGCGGTGAGAAGATGGAATATCCTCCGAGAATCTCCAATCAGGCGAGGCGAGCAGCGCAACACAAGTTGAGAATGAGTAAGAGATACGCGGTGGTAAAAAGGCTCTGCTTAATTCAATGGATGAATGAGAAATATAACAAGAAGCAAAAACGTTGTAGACGTGGTAAAAAAGAATTCATCCTGGAAATTTGTGTTCATTGATGTCTATTGAAAATCCTGTATTCCTTAATTATACAAGTATTTGTATTCGTAGTCGCGTTTATTATCCTGAACATTTGAAACTCTGGGTGGAACATGTTTTCATAAAAATAATTTATTATGTTCTGGAAATGTAAGAAGAGAAGATGACATTTTAGTGAGAAACGTATTAAAAACACGTTTCTCGTATGAAAATTCCTCACTATGATAACACAGTTAAAACTTTATTTATTTTTACTATTTTAAAGATGCACTCACAAACATTTTCCACGCATTACATTTGACAATTTAAAAACTATTTTATACACACAAGGGAAATAATGTGGAGTGAGAAGCAAGCATGCTGGGGCTTAGAAAAGTGCACAGAATATGAAACTATAATTTAAAATCAATGATGAAATATGTATTAGAATAACAGATGGAAAGAAAATTACACTGCAGTAAATGGAGGGAAACCAAGTAAGTGGAAGACTGAGAAAGGCGAAATGAATTATGAGTACGCGAAGGTTGATAGCAAAGCATATCATGTCAACGAGCCTTAATTGGTTACCGCTCATTTTTGCTATAAACCACATACGATGTCTTGACAGATGACAGCTGGCTGCCAACTACCGCAATGCGCTTGGCAGCGCAGAGCAAACAGAGCGACAACAATAACGGTTGAGTTCGAGGAATAGGAAGTGAACAATAGTGAGGGAGCAATGAAGAGCGGCTGAATGAGTACGAGAGAGTAAATTAAATAGTGAGTGAGAGAAATGGAGATACAGAGACAGAGACAAAGAGACAGAGACAGAGAGAGAGAGACAGAGAGAGAGACAGAGAAAGAGAGACAGAGAGAGAGACAGAGAGAGAGAGAGACAGAGAGAGAGACAGAGAGAGAGACAGAGAGACAGAGAGAGACACAGAGAGAGAGACAGAGAGACAGAGAGACACAGAGAGACAGACAGAGAGAGACACAGAGAGAGACACAGAGAGAGAGAGACAGAGAGAGAGAGAGAGAAATAGCGAATGAAAATCAACATCTCAAATCTTTTCTTCTTTTAGTTTTAGCAATAAAGAACAAACTGAGGTGCTATTGAGTTTTAGAAATCACTTTTAAATCAAGAGACTATGTTGAGTAAATTATTTTTATACTGGGTCTTGCACACCACCAGAGCACTTATGTTAGAGTTAATAACACCACAATTCATTATTTAATCAAGTGTATACAGCAAATGCGGATAGAGTTGAAACTTGTAATCAATGTGATAAAGATGTTCAAAGCAAACTAAGCCCTAGTTGTTAAGCCCGTTTCATTTGATACTTAGTAGAGAAGACCACGAAAATAAGGCACACCCTTTTATTGAAAGATTCGGTTGTGTCTGAATAGCCGAGCAGCTCTACGAACCGCTCCCGATGGCAGCTTCTGTGCAGAGAAGGCCAACTGGGGCCTTGCGAGGGTGAGAGGGGGGGAGTGGACGGGAGGGAAGGGATGGGAGCGGGCTACGCCTTTGGCCGACATGAATCGCGGAGGGAGG